GAACAAGGACAGAGGAGTGCCCTCTGTCCCGGGCCCTCCAGAGATCATTGACCAACGCGACCAATGCCGTTTCCGTGCTGTGCCCCGGCCTGAAACCCGACTGGTATGGGTCTAGATAGACAGTTTCATCCAGGTGTCGAGGGAATTGCTGTGCAACCACACTCTCGACAACCTTCGCCATAAAGCGAAGGTTGGAGACACGGAGGATTTACTGAAGTCGCTGATTGGAAAAAAAAAAGAGTTATTATTTATTCCAGTTCAAAACGGTCCCTTAACTCCCGGCCAATCAAAAAAACCAACAAAACAGTTTTTCATCCTCTTGGGTGGAACAACCTGTTACGCCATGGAAGGCTGAAGCAGCCCCTGGCTGCAGGGGGGGGGGGGAATCACCAAATGGGGCTAACGTGATTTATGGGAGTCCAGGTGTAGGTGAAGGACTGGCAGTGTTAATATTACTTTGTGCTGTTTCCTCAGAAGTAATAATGTCGAAAGAGAATTTTCACATATAACAGCTATATAAAAAAAGAGTCTGATGAAAAGAGAGCTTTGTTCTCCGAGGCCGGATTGGGAGGGGGGGGCTGGGGGGCAGAGAGGGAGAGATATAGATAACGTCTTTTAAGCTTCCTGGAGATAATTTACTTTCCATATTAAAAAAAAAGAGAAGACAAAAGATATGTTTTCTGTAAAAAAAAAAAACCAAACCCTCTCACGCATAGGATGTGAATACAGATTTAAAGGGGTATGTGTGGAGTGGTTTAACCTGGATGCCTGAATTCTCAACTGGCTATATTTGGGAGGGGGGGAGCTTGTGTGTGTATGTCATTTTAACCACCCAGTGTTCATGGAGCTAGGCAGCTAAAGGTTCGACCCTAGTTTGGTGTGTGCATCTCCCTGTCCGAGAAAGGTTTTTTTCAGCAAGGGGATATTGGCAGAGACCAGATAAGGAACTGGGTATCAGGACAGTGGGCAAAAAAACTAGACCCAGAATCCTCTCCAAGTGCCAGATGCGAACAGCCAGAATCACTTGTAAACAGCTAAAATCAGTAACTTTATTGCTTACTGCCTATGTTACAAGAATCTCCCCAAACTGCTCTCCTTCCCCTGGGAACAATCAGATAGGGCTTCGTGGATCTTGGAGGAGATCAAACTTATGCCTTTTGTGGCTATGCAAAGACTCCAAGCTAGGCCCTTGCTTGACTCCTCCCTCCAGTTTCCCAACACCAATTTCAAAGTATGCATCCTCTTTCGTCCTACTTTTCATCAGAATGAGTCTCTGGTGGAACCATGAATGGAGAAGAAATGGGAGAACAATAGATGGTCCTAAGCTTTATTATGCCTGCTGGTAACAGCTGGTACACTTCAATTATTGGGATAGGTTGAATTGATGTCTACTCACAATGGGTCTAGGGTGTGGGCGGAGTTCCAAAGGTATCCTGCAGGATCCCCCTCTAATTTTGGAAGGTGAGGCAATATTAATTTTCCTGAGCACCCTGGAAACCATGTCTCCTTGACGGAAGGAAGGTCATCATAGCAAAAGGCTGGTCTCCAGCCTCGTCCAGTAATTAAGGAAGAAGCAACTTCAAACTGTGGAAAGAATACTTGGCTTCAACTGTCTATTGCTTGGGACCACACAACCCAGAGGGAACAGTATCTGGATCTTGAGTTTAGTTGGAAGAACAAGCCAGCTTGGATGCAACCATATAGGAACATTTTCATGGCCAGTTTTGACATTTTCTTTTGCTGGGAAATTTAAGCAAAGCATGCTGGCTGGGGGATTGTGGGATTTGAAGTCTACCTGAGGTTGAAAAATCCTGCTTTACATTATGGGCTCACCTATGCCTCTTCAGAAGAATTATCAAATTCTGTCATTATGAGGGTTTTCATTTTTGGAATGGTGTTTTATCATTTCTCCCTTATTCAAGAGCGGCAGGTCTCTCCCAACTCAAATACAGATGTGACTGCTGCTGTTGTTGTGGTGGGGCAGAAGTAAAGAGAGACCTCCATATAAACTACAACAAGCCAAACAATGCTAGGAAAGTTTAAAACGTCAGCAGTGCAAATTGTATACATTTTCACCCAGCTCCTGCTGCTTCAGGTCCCCGCCCTACTAACTCTCAAAATGAAAGCCGGATAATTTTATTTCAAGAGGCAATCTACCTGTCAGCTTGGCACACTATAAATTGAAAAAGTAATCCATCATCTTTAAGTGGCATCCGAGTTCATCTAATTAGTGGATGGCAGAACTTGAAAAGACAAAGAAAGCTCATGGATTCGGTGAGACCCCTCTCTCTGGCTTCCAAAGTTATTAATCATGACCTTGGGTCTGGGATCCTTGCTAGTTTGGGGTGGGAGGCGTTACTCTGGGTAGGTTCCTATGGCATTTGTCTGAAATTCACATCACATTACTGATGTTCTTCAAGATGTGGTTTTGTCTATTACCAAGACCCTGAATGTTGGTCATCATTATGATTGTAACCGTAATCAGTAACTGATTATGATTATGATATACTGATGATGTACTGATCCCCAGGTTGGGACAGAAGTTCTTCTAGGAGCAATTCTGGAGTTGGAAAAGACTTAACTCCGTCTCTTCTCCTCGGCTCTATCACTATGAGTAGAGGGGTGGACATTCACCTCAGCGTATCCAGCTCTTCTTTGGTGAGGAAGTTGCTGGGCTCTTCAGTGGACACTTGTCTCTTCAGCATCTGAAGTTCTACCTCCAGCTACAAAATAAAGAGAACAGATGGAAGTTAGCTTTGTTTTTTGGGGTGGTCACCAGAGATCAAGACACACATAAGCCTTCCATATCCATGAAGTCTGAGATGAAGACAACCTCCTGCTAAATAAAAATAACCAATAAACACTATCATTACGGCTTAGCACAGGGGTCTTCAAACGTGGCCCTTTTATGACTTGTGGACTTCAACTTCCAGAATTCCTCAGCCGGAAGTTGAAGTCCACAAGTCATAAAAGGGCCACGTTTGAAGACCCCTGGATTAGCACAACAAGTGATAGACCTGCGTGAATCTCTATTAGTAAACCGTGACCTTGAAAATTAGAGGAATGGCTTCTTGGTCAAAACTTATGCTTAGCCCATACCATAACAAATAATTATATGAAATCATTGAATGAAATTAAGAGGTCCAGAGGCTCAAAGCTTTCTCCTTTTTGTTCCGTGCCATTTTTAGGAATCACACTTATCTCTTCAGAGATAAACGTTCAACCTCATTAAAATAATTCAGGAAACTCCAAAGGAAGAGTCAGATTCTGGAGTACTGCTCCAAAATAAAGAGGCTCCTGCTTTAGGTGCGAGTCGAGTACTCGTGGACATCTGGGGAGGGGGGGGAAAGGGGGGAAAGATATCCCTTGTGTGTGTCAGATGCCATTTGCCCTGATGATGTTGTGATTCACATGCTGCTATTTTGATATCGCTGTGGTTTTTTGTGAGACACCTATGGGAATCCGCCAAGCTGTTTTATCTGACTTACCTTTTGATTGCAATGCGAGATGCAAGGCACAAATTTCCGTGCTTTTCAATGAATCATCAACCGTGGAAGACACATTTGGAGAAGATAATAGAGTTTCAGCTGTTCCTTACTGAAGGATTAAATACGTCTCCCCTGGAATGATTTTTAAAGAGGTCTTTTGCCTCCACAAGTCTTAACTAAATTCTGATGGGGGTAAGGATCTTTGAGCCTAGGCAGATTTTACATCAAACTTTAGGTCATTCCTATTAAAAAATACGAGTTCCTTCAATGTCACACCCTACCTCCAACCTGCCTTCTCAATTTTAACAAAAAATAGTCTTTTTGTCATTGGTATGAATTGTTCATTGCAATGAACAAGGACACACATTCAATTTTGCAGCTACTAAGATTGTTGGACGAGCAGGCGCAAAAACAGCCAGGGAAGTGATTGAAGTCTGGAAAACGGGCCCCTTGCCAGTCAACAGGAGTGTTAATTTACCCCCAACTTATCAAGGACTTTAGGAGGCGGGGGCTTGGCAGCACAAGGAAACAACAGCCAAGGATTTAACAGCCAGCCAACAACACCCCAATCAACAACTAAAACGCCGCACACAACAGGCACCACATAAATACCACTCACAGAATAGTCCAAAACAGTCTGCTAGAGAGAAGTTCCCCGAGGATGGGCTCCAGCAAGAATCAGAAAGCTCGGAAGACTGAACCTCTGGTCCAGGTGACCGACCCGGATTGGTTCCTGCAACTCTCTTAATGATTCGCCTATCCTAAAGTTTGGGAACGCTCCTCTTTAAGATGTTCTTTGAAGAATTTCTGGGTCTTCTTATAGAATGTGGTCCTCAGCATGGCTGGCTGGGGAATTCTGGATGTTGAAGTCCACAAGTCTTAAAGTTGCTAAGGTTGGACACCCCTGGTTTGGTCCCTTCCCAAGCCTTTCCATTAAATCTCTGTCCTGTGGTCTGATCTTCTTTCTTTGAAAGCGTCATAGTATGGTGGACCACGTTCTGTAAGAAGATCCAGAAATCCTTCAAAGAGCATCTTAAAGGGGATTTAAACTCAGTCTCCCGGCTGCCTCCTAAATCGGCCCTCCCCTGCATTCTCAAATTGTTGAAAGAAAGAAAGGAAAAAAAGACACCATAAATCATATCGGTTGGCTGGTGAGATGATCACAGCGAGACATATTGTCCTCAATTTTATGATTAGTGGGTTTCTCGTTTTGTTTTTTCCAGCTCAACCCATCATAGACGGCCCGGTTCAAGCTGGCGCTCTGAAGATAATTCCAGGGACGGGGTATCTGAAGGACCACCAGTCAGTCCAGCAGGAGATTTTCAATTCCACCCCGCCGTTCCCACACGGAGCCATTCATCACAGCCCAGGATGCTTTGCTTTCCAGCCGAAGGTTGCAATGAGGTTTGTTATTATAGTTCTGAGCTGGTCTGAGCGCTCCCACGAAGGAGCACCAGTAAACAGCCTATTTATCATGGGATAAGCGGACACAAGGCCAAATTCCCCGCTGCCACCTGTTCTCTTGACACCCGGCAGATAAATTGCCCAGCGTTCCTTCTGGAGAAGGAGGCATGGGGTCCGTAATCGATGGCCGGGCCCTGCAATTGTGCATGGATGGCAGGAAAGGAGGTGGAGGGGGGGTTTACGAAGCCCTCCATGCAAGCGTCTGTGTGACAATAGAGCGAGGTTGTCCATTCTGGCTGCTGCTTGCGGTGACGATGAGGGGGTGACAATACGCAACTTCCTCCGTGCCTGGCAATGTGTTAGGAGGCTTCTCTGTTGAAAAAACAACCAACAGTGTCCCAGAGACTTGGATATGATTCAGACAACTGTCGGGCAGCCGAAGCCTTCCAGGGGCAGCTCAGAATACATTTCAAATGCAAAGTTGGCTCAACGTTTTGCAGCAGAAGTTGGGGGGGATCAGAGTTACGGATGGTCCTCAAATTACGGCCACAGTTGAGCCCAACATTTCTGTTGCTCAGCGAGACACTGGTTAAGTGAGCCTTGCCCCATTTTACGACCTTTCCTGCCAAGCGTGTTAAGCAACTCACTCCAGTTGTTAAGAGAAACGCGGTTGTTAAGTGAAACTGGCTCCCCTGTTCACTTTGCTTGTCAGAAAGTCGCAAAAGGGGACCGCATGACCCCCGGGACGCTGCAACCGTCATAAATATGAACCAGTGGCCGGGCGTCAGAATTTTGTTCACCTAATCGTGGGAATGCTGCCATGGTGAAAAACGGTCATAACTCACTTTTTTCAGTGCCGTTGTAACTTGGTTGTATTTTTGCAGATGTTTCATTACCCAACTAGGTAACTTCATCTGTGATAGAAGGGATGGGGTTTGTGGAGAGGAGGAGGAGGAGGAGGAGGAGGAGGAGGAGGAGAACAACGACGACTGTGAGATTCTTGGTGCTCTCTGAGCTTGGCGGTTTTCTTGCAGACGTTGCATTACCCAACTAAGTAACATCATCAGTGCTAGCAGGAAGTGGGATTTGCTCACCTATATATGTACATAAACAGAGATAACTGTGGCAAAAAGGTCGTAAAATGGGGCAAAAATCACTTAACAAATGTCTCGCTTTACCACTTAAATTCTGGGCTCAATTGTGGCCCTAATTCGAGGACTACCTACCTGTACATATGGCAAGGGGAGGGGTTTCATGCTTGCCCCTTCTCTGGACACTCCAACAGCCAAGGAAAGGAGTGTGGTAGTCAGAGGTGATTTCTTTGCAAAACTTGAAGCAATTTTTACGGCTCTCACCACACGCAGAAAGCTTCCTCTCATCCATCAGCCTGAGCAAAGGCCGCTAATGGGAACCCCAGAAACAGCCTCATGGAGGGGGGGGTCCTTGGGGAGAGCAAAAGGAATGGGGGGGCAGAAAGGAGAGTCCTGAGGGACCACCCGTCCTCCCTTCGCACTCTATTCATTTGCACCCAGCGTCTCCGATAATTACGCCTCTTAATTTAGAAGCGCAAGTGCCAGAAAAGAATATAAATTCATGCATTAACTTCTGAGATTGAAAATAAGGAGGACTGGACCTTCTCTCCCAGAGATTATATTTGGAAACGAAATAGAGTGACATTTGGTATTAACTTGAAAAATTGCACTAGGAAGGAGGGGGAAAAATAAGCCTCACTAAAAATCCACAGTAGGGCTGAGATCAGCTGAAGTCAGCATCTGCGCTACCTGGATCCAAGTATCTTAACTTAGACAATATATGTATATATCCATTTACGGCAAGTTCTCGGACGCGATAAATATTTAACAACTCTCTTCTCGCCAGCACGGGAACTTTGCTGTGTTGCTCCAAATCTTTCTTCAACATTGCAAAAAAATAAAAATAAACTCATTTGGGTTGGGGGGTTTTTTGCCCCCTCCCCCAGATTCATGCTGGTTTGCTGCAACTACTAGGATAGGGAAGAAATTCTAAATTGTTTTTTTATGCAGGCCTTCCTTTGACTTAAACCGTCCATTAATTGGAGCCAATGTTGAGGTTGCCTTGCAGGATGAATGAACGGAGATTTATGCTAAAGCAGCTTTGGCTGTAATTTAGTAGCTGCTGCTTATTTATTTTTATTTTTTTTTGCCCCAATGCCTTATGATGAAAGGTCTGGCAAGAGCTGAAGCCATATTTTGCCTGTTCATTATTATCTTGGCTAACAGAAAGCCTAGCCTAGCTCGTACACTCACTGCAACAGGAACAGGCTTTTGCTCTTCTCCAGAAGATGGATGCTTTGGCTTTTATTTTTCCTTGTCCCAAGACTGGAAAAATGCAGATTAGCTCATAATTTACTAGGACGGATCATATCCTGTGCTATTCAAGGAATAACACGAACGAGGGAATCTCCCAGGCTGAAATGTACATAAATATTAAACACTTGTAACTAATAATCTTGGCGGCATCATGAGCGGGGTTTTTTTTTTTTTCTCTTAACTACCTAAGTTTTCCTCTCCTAAGCCCAACACAGTTTGATGCGAGCCACTTTGGTACCCAACCATTGTCGGAAAGGCAGGATAATTATCTAAAAAATACATAATGCTAATCTTTGGACCCATTGGGGTTGCTGATGGGATAATTGCTGCAATGTTCAGGGAACAGCTACGTCTTTTTGTTCCTTTACAAAATCTCCAGTCAAAAACTCCTAGAAGTAAAAGGATGCTTTGTTTTAAAGCAAGCAACTATTTATTGTTATAAATAGTTAGCGGACAGTACTGTATATGGCAAACCTTAAAAAG